ATGACATTTTTCACAGAACTCGAACAAAGAATCCCAAAATTTGTATAGAGCCACAAAAGATATCCATTAGCCAAAGTAATTTTGAGAAAGAAAAACAAAGTTGGAGGTATCACCCTAATTTCAAACTATACTAGAAGTCTACAGTATCAAAACACCATGGCACTGGCATAAAAACAGTCATATAGATCTATAGAACAGAACAGAGCACCCAGAAATAAACCCACATCTATATGATCGATTGATCTATAAAGAAGAAGGCAAAAGTATACAATGCGGTCAAGACAAAGACAGTCTAGTCTCTTCAATAAATGGTGTTGGGATAACTGGACATATACAATCAAAATAATAATTAAACTAGACCATTTTTTCACACCATATGTAAGAATAACTCAAAATGGATTAAAGACTTAAATGTAAGACCCGAAACCATGCAACTCCTGAAGAAAACATAGGCAATAAATTCTTTGACATCACTCTTAGCTCTCTCTATATATAATTTTTATATGTCTCCTCGGACAACAGAAACAAGAAAAAAATTAAACAAGTGGAATACATCAAATTAAAAAGATTTTGCATAGTGAAGGAAACCATCAACAAAATGAAAAGACAATCTAGTGAATGGGAGAAGATATTCACCAATGATGCACCCTATAAAGGATTACTATCCAAAATATGTAAGAAACTTATACAATTTAACATCAAAAAAACCAAACACTCCAATTAAAAAATGGGCAGAGGACCTGAACAGACATCTTCCAATGAGGACATACAAATGGCCAATAGACATATGAAAAGATGCCCGATGTTACTAATCATCAAAGAAATGTAAATTAAAACCACAATAAAGTATCACCTCGCACATGTCAGAATGGCTATTATCAATAAATCAATAAACAAGTGTCAAGAAAGAAGGACCCCTCCTCATGCCCTGTTGGTGGGATTGTAGACACTATGGAAAACACTATGGAGATTCCTCAAAAAATTAAACATAGAACTACCGTATGACCCAGCAATCCCACTTCTAAGTATTTATCTGAAGAACTCCAAAACATTAATATGAAAAGATATAAGCACCCTATGTTCATTGTAGCATTATTTACAATAGCCAAGATATGGAAGCAACCTAAGTGTCTATCAGTAGACAATTAGATAAAGATGTGGTATATATACACAATAGAATATTACTCAGCCATAAAAAATCTTGCCATTTGAGACAACATGGATGGACCTAGAGAGTATTATGCTAAGTGAAATAAGTCAGATAAAGAAAGACAAATGCCATATGATTGTACTGATGTGTGGAATGTAAAAAAATAAATAAATAAAAATAAAAATAAATGAGGAAACAGAATCCAGACAAGCTCATAGACACAGAGAACAAATTGATGGTTACCAGATGGGAGGGGAGTTGGAGGGATAGGTGAAAGGATTAAGAAATAAAAACGAGCAGTTATAAAAATAGTTATGGGATATAACATACATGATAGGGAATATAGTCAATACAGTAATAACTGTATGATGTCAGTTGGGTACTCCACTCATTGTGGTGATCACTTTGTAAATTTTACAAATGTCTAATCACTATGTTATATACTTGACACTAATATAATACTGTATGTCAACTGTAATTGAAAATTTTTTTAAATTTAATAAATAATAATTATTCTCCATGAGATAGCTGGAATCAATGAAAATGAACATAGAAAGTCACTCACTGGCCTATAAAACACATCTAGGGAAACACATGACCAAAAGTGATATGTACATGATTTGAAAATTATGGTTTCTAAAAAAAAATTTAAGATATTCAGTAAGAAAAACTAACATGCACATTATATAATTCTAATTTAGTAAATAGTTGAAATGTTAAATTTTATTAGATTACAATATATATTACATACTAATAGTAATATGCAATATATAAATCCTAATGTATCATATAATATATAAATACTTAAATACATAATATTTTTATATTAATCACTTATATTTTTAAAAAAGTTGCAGGAGTTGACAATTCTTTAAATGTTATAGAGGAAAGGTGATTAAGATATAGTTTGTAACAATCTATTCCAAATGATAGAACAGAATTTGAGGAAAACAAAATGCTACAGACTGGAAGATAAACCACAATATCTAATAGAGTAAACTGGTAATTAATTGTAATAATATTTCATTGCTATAGTTCATATTTCAAAGATAAAAAATATTTACTAGTCTTCAAATTCTGTTTGTATATATAGTATCATTTAAATTCGTCTCCACAACAACAAATACAAACTTCTGTTTTCCTTTTCTATGCTGATGAGAAGAATGTGAGAGGCAGGAAATAGTCATCTTAGCTAAGTGAGAGAGGGAGAATGTCTCGTTACTTGGAGACTTCCTGAGCTAAATCTCTGAGGCTCAGAAGTATTATCATCAGTAAAGAATAAGGTCACACGAGCCTCTCTTAAAATTAACCCAAATACATTTCCTTTATGCTTTCAGAATATGTTTTCCCTTACTGCTTCTTTCCTGGAACATAAAAAGAAAATTGAATGATTTGAACAATATGGGTTGTTTTGACTATGAATATTTTCACAGACACTGTGACTAATACCATACTTTTATTTTCTCTTGGAATTTTTTTTGTTTGTTTCTTTCTAACAATTAACCTTTATTTTTCAGCCTCAATTTAAACACTGAGAAAGCTAGTCAGTGGCAATATTAATTGGAGCCTAGATGTCCAAAATTATGCTTTCCCCCAGCAATTTCTTTAGTACAAAAATAAAAGTCTCAGAATAAAAGCAATAAGGCTACATGTATGTATATAAGAAAGCTGACAGAAGATAATGATTCTGAGGTGATTTCATATATAACAATTCCATTGCTTTTAATGTTGAGGCTTCTGCCTTTCTGAATCTTTAGGAAGGATCATGGTAGCTGCTATTCTCCAGATCTTTCCTCCTTTGGAGTGTTACATACTCTGGGGAGACCGAGCAACTGTGTACCTGAAACCCAAGGATAATAGAAGATGGGAAAACAGAAAGGATCAAAAGAAGCCTGATGGAGGTAGAAAAAGGATTGTCCATTGATATTTTGCCTCTATCCATTTTTCTCAAAATAAGCTGCTTTTTAATAGCAACCCTTAGTTGCCCTGACAAATCAAAATAAATCTCACTCAGAAGCCTTGGCTGGCATCTATGAACCAACAAAATGCAAACTCAAGCTAAAAAGGGAGAAATAGGAAATGTTTTCTTTCAAAAAATAAGTTGAAATTTGAACTATATAAGGTTGCTACCTCATCAGTGGATCTTTGATCAACTTTTATTATCGTTTGTTGTTATCTGATTAAAGAGTTAATAGAAGTTTAAAATAACTGTTTCTCTCCTTACGTGGCTTATTGTTGCTTTTATGTTTACTTCCAACTGTAAATCTTCCCCTATTCTAATCAGAACAAAGTAGAGAATAGATTTCTAATAAATCAGTGAATTGAAAGATCAGGCCAAAAATAATATAGTAGAGCTACATTAGGATAAAGCAGACATTAACTCACAAATCAGAATATTAATTTTGTTTAATACCCCATAAATTTTGAGAAGTGGAACCACATCTGTTTTATCAATGTATCCCCAGCCTCTATCACAATGCCTGTTATATAATTTGTATTCAAATATTAACTAATAATAATGTAATAATATGCTATAATATAATAGCTTAGTACAGATGTTAAACCTGTCCCCTAATGCCAATATGATGCATTCAGTACAGATGTTAAACCTGTCCCCTAATGCCAATATGATGCATTCTCTTGTATGCTTCTTTACCTTAAACTTAAGAAATGAAACACATATCAATGTAATAGAGCAAAAAGAAAAAGAAATCCATTTGACACAGACAAGTAAGGCAATGAGAATAAAAGACATGAAAGGGCAATGTCTACTGAGATAAGAAGGTACCATAAGAACACAGGAATGAGACTTTAAATCAATAGCTTATAAAGAACCATTTGTTCTATTCTGGGATATCTACAGAGTAACAAATTATCAAAACTAGCATGGCTTTCTGGGAACATCAAGGCTGTCTATAGTAGAGTTTCGGAAAGATGTTACCCAATGAAGGAGAGTGTGAGGGGTGAAATGATAACAAAAAAAAAATATCCAAAGTTGAATGTTCCAAGGAAGAAGGATGACTTTTGAATGTTATTAGATCATTAACAGGAAATGATCAAAAGATCATTCACAGGAAAAGACAACTGTGGTCTTTTATTTTAAGTAAACATTTAGAGTTGGTAATGATTTCCCAAGACATTTTATTGAATACATTTTAAGAAAAAAGATTATTTGCTAGTTAAATAAATAGGAGATGGAAAATTAATTTTGTATAATTAAAAGAAATAAATCAGCACTAACCAAGAGAACTTTACTTTCCCTGAAAGGATAAAAAGAAGTAAATATAAATTAGACTGTTTACATGAAATAGCGCTTATAAGTGGATTCATTTTTTCCTAAGACCAACTAAGGCCTAAAAGGGATGGATGGAAACTTTTGTCAATTTTGAAACCAAAGAGTAATGTAAAGGTAGAGGAACAAGTTACTCTGGAAAAAATTCTGCGTCAGGAAAGGCTGACGGCCCATCTGGAGAACAAATAGAGCAATGAAACTGATAGTTAATCTAGATCGCAACAATAAAATAACTAATTCTCTTCATGTTATAGCAGTGAGTTGTTTGATTCATCAGAATTAAGTTAAATTAAGTGTCTGTATAATATACTTCACTAGGTACCATTTTTATGGAGGAGTAATCCTATACCAATAGTTACAAATCTGAAATGGAGTTAATTTATAGTAAATCCTATGTGTATAGTGGGTTTGGCCCCATATGTACTTTACATTTTGAAATATAAGCATATGTAAAATGCAAACATAACTTTTATACTTTATAATAGTTGACTCTTCTTTCAGACTATCACATTCAACTATGATTTTAGAGACATGATAGAAACTTCTTAAAACTCCTACCTATCCCTGAGAATGGTCCAGAGCTCTCCACCTAGGCAAGCTTCCATCAACATATACAAATATTTGCTGTCCTTAAATGTTCTGTATAGTCTGTGAATTGCAAACAAGAAAACAAAGGTTATCAATATTATTGTCTTTTAAAAGCATATAAATGTTTTGAGTACCATAATTACAGTATTATTATTGACTTTTGAAGCTTGAAATTTTATTAAAAAGATGAGAGAGAGCTGAATTTACAAATAGGGAAAAAGAGGCAATGGCTCAGAACTAAGTCAACACACTGTAGGGGGCTAGTCTCTCTTTTGAAGTGGATTAATCCCAATGATTATGGACAAAGAGGGCTTCTTAAGATTCTTCCAATTCCAGTTTGGCTGATGTTTCAAGCATGGACTCGAGCAATATTTAGTGGCTATAAACATACAAAGTACATAGATATAAAACTAGGTTATGCTTTACAAATATAGACATATGAAATTTGTGTGCTGTTCACTTAAGTTCATATTATATTCTGTTTTCAGCAAGTGACACAGGCAAATTAACTAGAAAAGCTTCTTCTGTATACATACATTAAAAAAGAAAAAACTCTCCATTATCTTCTTATTAGTGCTCTGAAAATACTGAGATGGAATAGTCATTTTATTTTTAAAAAACTTTTAAAAATATTCAAATGCTAAAGGTAAAATAGTTTGATTTTTGATATTTCTTTTTCAGGCATCAGGGGTCTATACAGTTTGGGAGTAACAGAGAGGATACAAATGAAATACTAGACACTCTGGAAAAAATATTTTCTTTTCCCAGAATCTGATACTCTTAAAAAAATAGAACCAAAACTTTAATTTTTTTTTTTTAAGGCAAACAAAACTTTTAAAAAATCTGATTTAAAAAATGTATGTTGTAAATGAAATGTGTAATGGTGAGTGCAAGTGGCAGAAAGATTTGCGGTTGACTTCCACTTGGAGTTGGTGATGTCAGTCCCCTGGGCAGGATCTTTACCTCACTATGAAGTCAGAATGAGCTCCCTGCATGATCTGCTTCTCCGAGCGGATATGCTCTTGCTGTCTCGTATCCACAATGTGGCGTTTCTTGAGAATCTTCATTGCAAAGGTTTTGGATTCTTCACTTTTCAACTGGACCTTAAAGAAGGCAGAAAGAATTAGGTATTTAAAATCCTATTGAGTTAATAGAACAAAGTACATTTTATCTCTAAATTTAAAGGTATGTGGAACACTTACATTGACACCCCAATCACCATCTGAGTCACACAGTAAATCCTTGTTGAAACTGGATTTAAAATCCAGGACTCACAACTATTGTCCAATTGTATTCTACTGGATCAGATGAATTTTAATTTAACTGGATTCCCAGTTAATTTTGTGCCCACTTGAATTAGAAGAGGGGAAATGTGTTTGATTTTCATTATTTATGTCATCTCATATTCATTTGCATATACTTTATAGTTTTCTCCTTCTATCAAAAAAGTAGAAATAAAAACTAACTTCTCCAACTATACTTCAAGCGAATGTAGCAAAGGTAGGATCATATGAGCTTTTATGCTCTTCTTTCTTAGTCCTAGTCTGCAAACATTTATAAAGTTATAAAATTCTGACAGACATTGTCTCTGTTAAGACTGCAAAAGTATGTAGTTATTTATTCTCTTCTTACCTCCCAGTCTTTCTCTTCCCTCCAGTTAAAAAGAAAATAATGTAATAATATTTTTTCTAAGAAATTTTGAATGAAAACTTTTTTCCTTCTCAAATATGCATGATGGCTTCAATTCTTTCAGACCTCAACTCTTACTCCTTAGGTATATTAATTTGAAAGACTTAAGCTGCACCTTGATGTCCCCAAGGCTTCCACGCATCTGTCCCAGCCCTATGTGGCTCCCAGTGGTTCTAGATTCCTCAATTAGGATGTTGGTCTATGTTCACTGTTTTACCAAAAATTTCAACACGGTAATTTGTATGGGAAAAAAAGAAATAATAGAGCTAATCACTAAATAGAAATATTAAAGAGTTATTGTCTAGTGCTTTCCAGCAACAGAATCCTCAAATAATATCACACAGCCCACGTTATTTAGAACTAATTAAAGCCCTGAGAAAATAACAAGACAAGCTTTCTGCTTTTCAGCTGAAATATTGCTGTCCCCTCTTTAGTTGTGAATTGTTTATGCTTCATCTGCAGAGATGGCAAAGTTCTTAAGTGTCTTCTTCATACACACGTGTACAGATTAAACTCAGTCTGAGAAGACATTAACGTGGTAAGTTCCTTAGAAAAGAATATGAGGACACTTCAAATAAATGAGCCTCAGTTTGCTGCCAGCATTAGTGAATCTGTATGACAGGTTAGAGGGAAAAATAGATCATTTGAAAATGCCTTAAGCCAAAGGCACTCTTTAAAATGAAAGATTAGCATGAAACTCTTTAAAATGAAAGATTAGTGTGATACAAATGAATTCAGTGAAGTTCATAATAAAACATAAAATGTGAAAACTGCTTCTAAAAGAAATTTGGAATGATAAGAAAGATGGAATGAAAAATGAGCTGTGTTCCTCTAAAATTCAAAGGAGAAGAAACAAAATCTTATTCCTTCTTTAGAGTCTTAGTTAAATGACTAAAGACTTGTATAGTTCACTCAGCTAATGTAAAAATATTCTCTTCAGTGATAATACACATAATTATTATGCACAGGTGAGAAGAAAGAACTCAGCATTTAGGGTCACAGGTCTGGACTTGAATCTTGACTTCAGTTAAGGTCTCTCTCACTCTCTTGGGCCAGTTGCTTAACTGCTCTGAGCCCCAATTCTTGCTGAGTGTAACATCAGCTACTGTACAGAGTTATTGTGACCTTAAATGAGAAAGTTCCACTGAATGAACATTCACTGATGATCTCTTGTCTTTCAAACAAAGCGAGATATCAAACATGCTACTTCTCTGCTCAAAACCCTCAAGTGGCTTGCCATCTCACTCATGGTAAAGACAAAGCTGTTACAAAGGCCTACAAGATCCTACACCATCTGGACCCCTGCTACTCATGAGCCTCAGTTCCCCTTTACTCATTCTGTTGGGGTCACAATGGCCACCTTGCCGCTTCTTGAGTACACTAAGTAAGCTCTTGCATCAGGCTATTTGCATGTGCTATTCTTCTGCCTGAATATTCTCTCACAGATATCCCCAGGATTCACCCTCTCAGTTCCCTAAGTTCTTTGCTCAAATGTTTCTTAATCAGAGAGTCTCTCCTCACACCAGTTTACATAAAAGAGGAACCATCCACTTCTCCCTTCCCTTTTTTAATGTTCTCTATAGTTCTCATCTCAAGCTAATACACTAAGTATTTTCTTGATTACTCATTTAATGTCAGTCCTCTCACTAGTCTGTAAACAACCTGAGATTGGCTATTATTTTGTTTATTGTGCCTGACAGAGAATAAATGCTCATGAAATATTTGTTGACTAAGTGAATCAAAGAAAGAATGAAATAAACCATGACAATTTATCACTGGCAAAGCTACAACAGAATAGGCATGTAAACTCCACACTGTATATTTGAGTTTAACAGGAGACAAGTCAGAGAAGCTACAAGGACAAGCATGTAGTATCTGGTCTTTTTCTTCTTTCCAAAAGTGCCTGTAATTAGGCATGAAAGGGAAAAATCTGAATTTAAGGAAGTTTTACTTTTACAGAAAAAGAAAAAGAAACATTATTATTCTGACTTAATTAATTCTTTGGATATAACAAACTAATATGCCTGCATAGTCAGAAGGAGCCAACTTACTATATTCATGAAAGAAAGTGAACTTTTTAAAGTGCACAGGAAGCTTCTGTTATGCAAACTAGTCTCAGATTGTATTCTTCAACATTTCCTAACAAAAAAAAATTGCTAATTCTTATATGAGAATTACTTTTCTGTGTGTAGTAGTACTATAAATTTTAGGCAAACATAAGTATAATCTTAGAAAAACTCCTATTTTCTTTCTTTTCTTAAAATCTCTTTTCTCACTAGTTATCCACAATTTTATTCCTCATCTTTCTCTCTGTATTAAATGATAACATCCAATGTTTTATCTTCCTTAGTCAATATCTAAAAAACTTAAGAATGAACCACAGTATCTGTTTTGTTCCACAGGATATACAACAGAGGAGAGCACAGGGAGCTTGTCACAGCCTGTATTACACATGTCAAATGGCACAGAGAATGCAAAGGACAAATTATGAGTTTATCAGGGACATAAGAGGTGGAAACTTTTCAGCCATGAGGCATAGAGGCACGGCACTGTTGTACAACTTTATGGTAAAGATATCTAATTTCCTAAATAACCACTAAGTTATATATATGGCTGGGTACACTGTTGTTGTTGTTGTTTGTTGTTGTTGTTTTTCCCAGAACAAAAGAGCACAGAAAAGTAGCTTATTTTAATTTATTTATCTATAAATAGTCTTTCTTTTCTTTCTATCCTTTCCTTTCTAGTCTTGCTTTCCTTCACTTCAATTCCTCATCAAAAATGTTGATCATTCCATTTGCTCTGGAACTTGCCTTCAGACTTAAAATTCAGTTCTACAGCTAGAGACAAGACATATCAAGAAATACCTATATTATTAAATTCAAATTAGTCAAAAGACAAGTAAAGCTATTTTCATAGAGGAGATCATTTTCTTTTAATTTCTTCAAAAGATATTTAGCATTCAGTTTGGAGGAAGGTCAGAAAAAGAAATTCATACTTTTCTACTTGTAATTACAGTATGAACAAAGAGTCGGGCTGTTTTGTAGAAATCACTTGCAAATTGAAAAATATCTATGATTTCCCTTAATAAGGAACTGTGAATGAGTCATTTTGACTCAAAAGGCTACCTACATTAATTCAAGATTGATTACTAAAATGTGCAAATAAACATATTATTTTTCTTCCCTATAGTATGTGTGTTAAATAAATCCTATTTCATTTTACAATTTATGATATGTAAATTATTAAATATAGTGATTATTAAAATTGATATTTAAATTTTATTAGCTATAATACACTTTAAATTATTTTCCTTCATCAAATAATCAAATATTTCCCCGACTCAAGATTTGATTTCTATGCATAATTTTACTCATGTAAAAAAATACTACATGCAACAGTTTTAAAACTTGTTACATGTTTCTAAATTAATCACTTTAATATTTCACATAATTTAATATTTCACATATTGTAATACTTAAAGCACACTTATAATCTAAAACTTCCCATAGATGGAGTTGAGTATCTTACATTGACACTTCAATTTTTTCCGTTAATTGATGCTGCAGAGGTTTAAAATGAGTTGAATGAAACAATGACATGTTGCAAAATTCAGCTTTCTGAGATATAATTAGATTAACTTATGAAAGATTTTACATTCTAGTCATACATTTAAGATGTAAGGCATAAGCAAATATTTTTTTAACTATTATATACTGAAAGTATTTCCACCAAATGGCTTATAATCAGATCTTAATGTCTTAATATATGCTATCTTCAAACTTCGCCTTTTGTTACTAAAAAAACCAAAACTTCTCCCTCTACTGTTTTTATATTTCAAAAGTTTCACACAATTTTGTAGAAATATAAATGTACTTTAAATGTAGTTAAGTCAGTTCAACACATATTTACTGGTTTTTGCTTATAGTAACTTGATCTTTGAAAAACAGTCACATTAAACATTTTGACTGCTTTGTTCATGTAGACGTGGAACACAAGATTTTAGCCATGACCATACAATGATTCCCATTGATTTAGCTTATTTGTTGCTTTTTGGGTATTGATCATCTCCTTACTGTTACTGTGAATTTGCAAGGCAGCTGACTAGAAACAGAACTAAGAACCAAGTCATCTCTCTGCCTACAAAATCTCTTATCTCATAGCTCAATGTTCAATCTAATACTACGTGGTGTATGCCAACAACAATAAGAAATATTAATATGACGGACAGAATATAAATTATCAATAAATTCAATGTATACATTTAATGAGCTACACTGAAACATACAAAATGATCTTATCTATATTTATTCTCAGAAAGCAATAAACCATTTCATTTTATTTAAAAGGACCTGGCTATTTTCAACATTACTAACATACACATGGGAACTGTTTTTCTTCTCATGGAAGGGATCTC